ACTGCTTCATAGGGTTTCCAAGGTGCTGCTGGTGGTTCGAACTGCCAACCTTTGGTTAGTAGCTCTTAACCACTGTGCCACCAGGGCTCCATATGGTACATAATTAAGTTATATTACAGTATATTTTAAAATTCAGATTACTTTTACAAATGTAAGATTTTGATGAATTTAATTTTCAAACTTTAGCTTTAAATTTAAGAATATTTGTATTCATCTTATTGGATTATAGTATTATCCTTAACATTTGGAGAATAAATGTTTTAGAAGGAAGTTACTGTTACATTTTAAATATGATAGCTAAGTACAGAGAGTTTTTATAAAGATCATATTTTCTAGTAGGCTTTACCTTTGCTTTTAATAGTGGACAAATGGAATCTACTTTACAGTTTTAGCAAATTTAGATGAAACTTTGAAAACTGTACTTTTGTTACAGCAAATTACGTGTGTAAGTGAATTTTTCGTGTAACTTTATTTTTTGTATAAATTTTGCCATTAGGTGGCAACGACTAACTGTAAAGATTCAAATAAGATATTTAAGAATATAATTCAGTGAGTAGAGTCTATATAACTTCACTCTTTAAATTCAAGTTCTCCCAAAAATCCTTTGAAATATTTATGAATTTTAATAGAACCACTCTTAAAAATCATCAAAAATACACAGCCTCTTTTGTTTCTTAGTTACTCGATATTGATATGTTTGTAATTAATATTTAAACACAAAAATTTTACCCTAAGATGGCTGCATGTTAAACTTGTTAATTCTGGTTTTCTGATTATTAAATTTATTTATCCTCTCTTCTCTATACTTTAGTAATGTTATAGTAGTTTTTTGTAGAAAGTAAGCAGTTGTCTGAATTGCATGGCAACAACTGGGTAAAATAGAATTAAAAAAACTATTATTGGAGAAATAAATTCATATATAGTATGACCTAATTTTACCTACTGGATAAAGTGACTGCTATTATAATTTCAGAGTTCTATCTCCTTGTAGAAGATTGTCTTTGACCCCTAAATCTCGTCTAAAATTCACTCTAATAAGCATTCTTTTTTGGTGTGTCTTTTGTTTGTGTGTATTCTTGCACATATTTCCTTGAAAGAAAGTCCTGTGGACCATCAATCTATTTGATCTTGGCTTTAAAATTTAAAAGTTTGTTCACAGCACCTGTTCCTGTGGGAGAGCTCATAAGTTGAGTTGTGCATAGTTTTTTAGAATTCACTCACCAAAAGTTCCTCCCTTAACCTACCCCATGATAAACTGCCCAAATGATTTAGTAGATTATTGTTGACCCTGGGATGTAGTAGAGTGAACTGAGCTGCGTGGTAGGGACTTATTTGATTCTGTCTTAGAACTAGTTAGTGATTTAGGTAAGTGGCTAATTCAAATAAGAAAAAGGAACCTTAGGCCCAAAAATTTACCTGTTTGTATGAAGTAGAAACAATACCTCCTTAATTTGACTTTTTCAGAGCACTTGGGAAATTTGTGTTTTACAGTTCACCTTGTTTGATTTCACTTTAATTCTTTGAGTAGAGTCTGTATTACTTCAGTGGCCATGGGGTCTCTCAAAACTCAGATGGTCATTTGCAAATCCAAAACTGAGGACACAAACTCAGTCACCTAACAGAATCGTTGTGCTGTTATCAATTATAGTAAAATTAGCTCTAGTTCAAATACCCTTAGCTTTGTTAGACTTTATTTAAAAAATGTGTATTGATGACTGACTTTCTTATTGTGGTATGGTTAAACCTCATTGTCATTGAGTCAATTCCGACTCATAGAGACCCTACAGGACAGAGTAGAACTGCCCCATAGCGTTTCCAAGGAGTGGCTGGTAGATTTGAACTGCCAACCTTTTGGTTAGCAGCTATGTTCTTAACCACTGTGTCACCAGGGCTTCAAAATCAAACCCATTGCTGTTGAGTTGATTCCAACTCCTAGTGACCCTATGTGACAGAGTAGAACTGCCTCATAGAATTTCCGTGGAGTGGCTGGTAGATTCAAACTGCTGACCTTTTGGTTAGAAGCCAAGATCTTAACCACTGCGCCACCAGGGCTCCTTGTGGTGCTGTTAGTGCTTCTAAACATCTAGAGCATGCAATTTCTTGTAGAGCCAGGTTTTAACTTTTAGCTCTTCCAGTGTAGGAGATCCTAGAAACTCCTGGGAGATGGGGAGAAAATGAGGCCATGAGTACAAAATGATGGCACAGAACCCCTAATTTTGTAATTTGGGGCTTGCGGAAATGGTTTATAGTTCTGATGAGTGAATTTGTAACAGTTCATGAAAACTTAAGCTTGGAATTCTGGTAAATAAACTTATTAAGGGATCAGTGTGTCATTATTATACTGCTTTGCTGATCATAAGTGAGCCCTGGTGGCACAATGGTTAAAGCACTTGACTGCTAACCAGAAGGTTGGTGGTTTGAACCCATCAGCCACTTCGCAGAAGTAACAGTGAGTTGGAATCGACTTGACCGGCAGTGGGTTTGGGTTTGGTTTTGGGCTTGCTGATTATGATAAAATAAAATAAGAAAACAGTATTTTCTAATGTCTTAGTCATATTATTCTGTTATACTAGAATTTTTTTATGTTTTTTTATTGTATTTTAGATGAAGGTTTACAGAACAAATAGTTTCATTAAACAGTACACATATTGTTTTATGACAGTGGTTAACAACACCACAACATGTCAACACTGTCCCATCTCAACCTTGGGTTCCCTGTTACCAGCTTTCCTTTCCCCTCTTGCCTTCTAGTCCTTGTCCTTGGACTGTTGTGCCCCGTTAGCCTTGTTTTGTTTTATAGGGCTTATACTAGAATTTTTATTGTCATGTTTCTAGAAATATGTAGGTTGGGGATTAGGTGTTTTGTTACATGATGATACTATTTATGGTCCCTGGGTGGTGCAAACAGTTTGTCTTCGACTAATAACCTAAAGGTTGGCGGTTCGAACCCACCCAGTAGTGCTGTTGAAGAAAGGCCTGGCATCAGCCTCTGTAAAGATTACAGCCAAGAAAACTGTGGAGCAGTTCTACTCTGTAACACATGAGTGTCTTTGAGTGGGAATCAGCTTGGTGGCAATGGGGTTTGTTTGTTTGTTTTTTTTAATACTGCTTTGCTGATTATGATAAAAATAAAATAATATTCTCTAATGTCTTAGTAAAATTATTCTGTTATACACCAGAATTTTTATTGTTTTGTCATGTTTCTGGAAATATGTGGGTTGGGTTTAGGTGTTTTGTTATATGATGATGCTATTAAAAAACAAAAAACCTGTTACAGTCAAGTCAGTTCTGACTCGTGGTGATCCCATGTGTGTAGAAAAGAAGTGCACTCCATAGGGTTTTCAAGGCTGTGACCTCTTGGAAGCAGATCATCAGACCTTTCTTCTGAGGAGCCCCTGAGTGAGTTCAAACTACCAATCTTCTGGTTAGTAGTCTAGTGCTTACTATTTGCGTCACCCAAGGACTCCACCCACTGTTATTGTGAGGATTTGACTTAGGATGTGAATATCTTTTATAGTCTGTGTCCAGTGTGACAAAAATTTAACCATCCTGGTTTTTGTAGGGTGCAGGACTTTCATATTAAAACTGGGACAGTCCTGGGCAAACCAGGACAAGTTGGTTTCCCTAAATTTAGATAAGTAGCATCTATATTAATTTACTCGTTTAATTCAAGTTCTCCCAAAAATCCTTTGAAATATTTATAAAATTTTAATAGAACCACTCTTAAAAAATCATCAAAAGTTCCAGCCTCTTCTTAGCCCAGATAGACATAGGAGGGAGAAAAAAATCATATTTAAATAACTACAAAGGCTAATCCAGTGAAAAAATTAGAATGTTGCTTAAAGTTTGTTTATGAAAGGAAGTTGTTTTGCTTAAAATAAGACACTTAACTTGTTTATAAGTGTTAGTATAAGAAAATACACAGGTTTATTTGTCAGGATTTAAATGTGATTGCAGTGGTTAAGTGTTCTACTGCTAACCAAAAAGTCGGCAGTTCGAATCCACCAGCCACTCCTTAGAAACTCTGTGGGGCAGTTTTGCTCTGTCCTGTAGTGTCGCTATGAATCGGAATGGACCCAGTGGCAACGGGTTTGTTTTTTTGGGTTTTTGTGAAAGCCCAGGTACGACTCTTGGGATGTGAGCTGCTTTATTTTGGCTGATATTTAGATGCCACCTGTTTGCTAGCACTGTGTCAAGTGGCTTTATATAATTATTAAGTTTTCTTCAGCAGTCTGAGGTAAAACATCCAGCAGTTAAGGAAACTAAAGTTCAAGGAATTTAAGTGATTCTAAAGATCCTATAGCTGGTAGATGGTAAAAGTAGATTTGGGACCTAGGATTCCTGATGCTCTATCTAGTAGTTAATCATAGAAATTATCAGAGTTAATCATTGATGTGTAAACCCCAAACCCGTTCCGTCAAGTCAAATCCAACTCATAGCGACTGTAGGATGGAGTAGAACTGCCCCATAGGATTTCCAAGGCTGTAATCTTTACAGAAGCAGACCTAATTTATATGGTAAGATCTAGAAGGGAAGAGCATCCTTGATGGCCTTTGAGTCATACAAAATCACTGTTAAGGTGTTGGTGAAATTTTTTTTTTCAGAGGATTTACTTTTGAAAAACCTGATAAAAAGATATGAATCATTGCTTTAGAAAAATGCAGGTATACCAACTTTTGAATACAACTCCAGTAGGATTATAGATCAGGTAATGAACTCCTGTATTATAGAAAGATGTTATATTCAATTCTCTAGAATTATGCTGTTTATCTGAACTGCGTTTTCATAAGCAGTGTAGGAAGAGCTAGAGAAAGTATGATAGCTTGTTTTAATGTAGGTATTTTTTAAATGTTTTAATGTTATTGTTAGTAAAGGCCTTTTTGGTTTTGTTTTGCTTGTCTCATATTATGTTCAGATATTCGAAACAATATAGTGTTACACAATGATTTTAAAAAAGCATTATATTTTGTGTAACTTTTAACTAAATCTATATCCTTTAGGTAAAAAGAACATATTCTCATGGTACTTACAGAGCTGGCCCAATGCGACAAATCAGCTTGGTGGGAGCAGTTGACGAAGAAGTGGGAGATTACTTCCCTGAGTTCCTTGACATGTTGGAAGATTCACCGTTTTTAAAAGTAAGGGAAAACAATATCAGCAATCTAAATTGTGTGTGTTACTTTCATGCTACAGGGGATACAAATAATGGGTGTTTCAGGATCTGAAAATGTTTGGTTTCATTTGAATTGGAGAGAGGGAAAGGAAGGATGGGAAACCAAGTCATTCTTGTGTAGTGTGTGCTTGTATCTTCTCACGTGCTAATTATAACAGCAGATGACCAGGAAGTGACACTTTTATTGCCACTTTAAGTAATTAGCTTCCATCTGTTTATCAGCTCTTTATAAACTGAGTACCAAAGGATTTAAGAAGTAGAGGAAGGAGAACTGGCCTAGGAAATTGTATATCTGTATTTCAGTCATGGCTATACCTAGCTGGATTCGGTAAGCCGTTTAAGCTTTCTGGGTTTCAGTTTCTTCATCTAAAATATAAGGCATGTAGGCTAGCTAGTTTTAAGACCCCTTCCAAAATCTAAAATTCTTTAAATGATTTCTAGCCAGAATTCTTGTTTTTTTTTTTTTTTTGTAACAGTCTCTGCCTTCCAGAAAATATTTCTTCTTGTGGACTGCTGGGACTATCCCATTGAGAGAGAAATCTCTGAGCTATATAATTGGGTTGTTTAATCAGTAATATAAGGGTCAGTGTAAACCTACCCTGAAATTTAGAGTCCAAGTAAGTAGCAAAATGTGACAAGATCAGTTTATCTCTAATATTCACTGCATAATCTATTGAACATCTCTTCTTTACTTTTCTTTGCTTGATTAACCACCTTGTATGTATATATCTTTTTTTTTTTAATTTTCATCCCATTCCATTCCCCTTTCCTTTTCCTTCTTTATTCCTTCAAAACCTTTTCTTCCTTCTCTGTTTCTCCCAACAAGTCATATTATGGAGTGTGTACTTATTATGGTAAATATTACCAGATATTATTTAAGTAGTTATGTTTCAGTTTTTAATTTTAAAAGCAAATGAGATAAGTGTGTTATTTCTAGAGAAATTTAATTTTACAGTCTTCTTGTTTTGAAAGGGGGTATTCCATGACAATGGCCATCAGACATTTCTTTTTCTTTTTCACTTCTAAAAGTTTTTAATCTCTGGTTTAGGCCATCAGCCTCTTCAAGAAACTACTAAATAGAAGTAAATTTCGATTTTGGTTTGGTTTTCCTTTTCTTAGTTTTTGGTTATCACTAATCAAAGAGGTATCCATTTTTTAAACTTATATTTAATTGTCTACTTTTATAGATTCTCATGGGGAATCCTTGCTTATTTTGCCAATTATTAACATCATAAGACCATATATTTAGTAGAAGGAAGAATAATAAACAGTGAACACAGTGAATCATACACCTAGCAGGGTGTGGAGGTTGGGAACCATCCAAGCATAATTATTCTCTTGGTATGTTAGAAATAGAATTATTTGAAGGAAAATGTATGAATATATACATATATGTTTGATATAGTTATATATTTTGAATGTATAACAATAAAGGTTTTTATGAAAGTGTTTGTGAAGGTATAATGTTCTTCCATGAATATTTAAAGATACATTTAGAAAATAATTGATATCTATGTAATTATTTGTTTCTAGTGTACACTGCCATGGGGGACACTATCTAGCCTGAAATTAGAGAGTCGAAAAGACAGTGATGATGGTCCCATCATGTGGGTACGTCCAGGAGAACAAATGATCCCTGTGGCTGATATGCCAAAGTCACCTTTCAAAAGGAAGAGGTATGTCAGATACAAATTTTTACTGCTGGAGATAGGTATTTATATGTTGGGGTGTGTATTAGTTAATAATTGGAGGAAGAAGGGAGGTTTAGCGCACCATTGGAATGTAAATTTAGAAATGGCTATACATACTGAAAATTTTATAAAACATCAAATATAGATAAGACATGAGAAATATAGACAAATAACAATAAATTGTAGTTAGGAGTGAAAAAATGTCATTCACGACAGAGAAATTATAAACTATTTAAGAATAAATTTAACAAATATTTGGAACCTGTACAGGCAGCCCGTGCGTTACAAATGTTCAACTTATGGACAACTCCTACTTACCCTTTAATGTTACGTAAATTTGCCCTCATTTTAAAACGATGGAACTCACCCGTACTCGATTGAACCAACCCCTGCTTGAAACAAATTCTTCATCACAGTCACCTTCACTTGCTGCAGGTATAGCTGTTATATCATTGAAAGGGCTTCGAGCCTTTTTTTTGCACTAAAGTAAGGCTAAATAAGAACTGTGTACCTGTTCCAACTCAACTACAAATTCTTTTTTTTTATTGTTGTAGTTTAAGTGAAAGTTTACAATTCAAGTTAGTCTCGCATACAAAAATTTATATATACATTGTTATGTGACCCTAATTGCTCTCCCTATGCTGTGACAGCACACTCCTCCTTTCCTCCCCTGATTTCCTGTGTCCATTCAACTAGCTCCTAACCCTCTCTCCCTTCTAATCTCACCTCTGGACAGAAGCTGCCCACTTAGTCTCATGTATCTACTTGAGCTAAGAAGCACACTCACGAGTATCATTTTATGTCCCACAGTCCAGTCCAGTCTTTGTCTGAAGAGTTGGCCTCGGGAATTGTTTTAGTTCTGAGCTGACAGAGAGTCAGGAGCCCATGCTTTCTGAGGTTCCTCCAGTCTCAGTCTGGTCTTTTTACCAGAATTTTGAGTTCTGCATCCTACCCTTTCCCCACTCCATCAGGTACTCGCTGTTGTGTTCCCTGTCAGGGTGGTCATTGGTGATAGCCAGGCACTGTCCAGTTCTTCTGGTCCTAGGCTAATGAAGTCTCTGGTCTATGTGGCCCTTTCTGTCTCTTGGGCTAATACTTTCCTTGTGTCTTTGGTGTTCTTCATTCTCCTTTACTTCAGGTGGTTGGGACCAATTGATGCATCTTTGATGGCTGCTTGCTAACTTTTAAGACCCCAGATACCACTCACCAAAGTAGGATGCTTAACTACAAATTCTTGAAGACACAGTTAGAAATGAGTTTCATTCATAACCCAGGGACTACCCGTATTAAGAAAACTAAAACATTTTATAGAGGATATGAAATAAGATCTAAACAAATGGAAAGCCTTACTATGTTCTGGATTGGATAAAAATGATAATCCTTTAAAATTTTTTGCATTCCCATCAGACTCACACTCCAGCACTGGAAAAAATGGTTTTAAAGTCCATAAGGAAGAATAAAGTCAGCAAATAGCCAAGAAAACTGTGAAACAGAAGATAAGTGAGGGAGAGCTTATGTACTAGATATTAAAAATTACTATAAATTACAATAGATGATTGAAATAGGATAGCATCCAGAAATAGATCTAAATATATTGGAAACTTAATATATGAGATAGATGGGAAAAGGAAAAATTCGTTAATGAGTAGTACTGGCATAACTAGCAGTCCATCTGAAAGAAAACAAAGTTAGAACCCCTACCTCATACAATAGAGTTAAAAATTTAAACAAAGCAAAAATATTAGAACAAAATTTTTAATCCTATCCTAAGCAAGATAAAAAATATACTGGCAGTACTATTTGTGTGAGAAAAGACATCAACAACAAAGTTCAAAACCATGATACTAAAACAAGCCAGTTGCCATCAAGTCAGAGCTGACTCATGGCAACTCCCTGTGTGTCAGAGTAGAACTGTGCTTCATAGAGTTTTCGGTAGCTGATTTTTCAGAAGTAGATCACTAGGCCTTTCTTCCAAGGTGCCTCTGGGTGACTCCAGCCTCCAGCCTTTCAGTTAGCAGCCAAGTGTGTTAACCGTTTGTACCATCTAGGGACTCTACAGCTGTAATACACTGGGCTAAAACATTTGTAACATGTGACAGACCAAAGTTTATATCCGTAATGTACAAAGAGCATTCCCAAATTAACAAGAATATGTAAACAACCAAATAGAAAAATAGGCTTCAAGTAGTTAAGAAACGTATATATTAAAACAATTGTGAGATACTGTTTTTACCCATTACATTGACAAAAATTATTAATGGAGCAATAATATTACAGGTTGATAAGTATGTGAGGAAACAGAGTCGTATTTTATATATAGTTGGTAGAAGGATAAACTACTGTAATTATTTTGTGAAAGTAACCTGGCAATAGTTCATAAAATTTGACATATATATACTTTTTGATCCAGCACCCCTATTTTTGGGAATCTAATCCAAAAAATAAAAGCAGTAAAGGTAGATGTGTAAGAATTTTGATTGCAGCATTGTTTGTGATGGCAAAAACTAAAAAAAATGATCTGAATGACCATCGACAGGGGAATGGTTGACTACATTTTGATATATTCTATTAAAATACATGGTGAAATAAGTGAAATAAATGAGTTACTTATGTCTGTTGATCTGGAAAGATGTCCATGACAGTTGAAAAGAGCAAAATGTAATGTGTCTAGTATGATTGTTTTTATGAATAGAAATAACACGTGTAGGTATATATGTGAGCACAGAGGAATATGTGTAAATGCACAATAGGTTAACATTAGTGGGAGTAGAAGGGGTAATGCTGGAGGAGAGAATAGCTTTTTCTTTAGACACCTAAAGATGGTTTCACTGGTTACAGCAAGTATTAATTAAAAGCAGTAACAACAACAACAAAAAACAGAGAAACAAAGATCATTGAGTAAACTGTAGGTCACTTGAGGGCTGGGACTATGTTGAGCTAGAAATGTGTCTCGAGCACCTAAAATAGTGCCTAGTGCTTAATAAAATATTTATTGGATGAATGAAATGTTTGTAATTTGTAAGTTGGTAGTAAATGGTAAAATTGGTGTGTTTTTCAGTGGTTCTTAACTTTTTTTCTGGTTTTATGGATGATTTTGAGAATCTGAAAGCCTCTCCCCATAAAAATGCAGATGTATACAAATTTATACATACAATTTAAGGGGGTTCACCAGCCCCTTAAAGAACGTCTGTGGACCTCAGAGTCTATAACCTATAGTATATCTGATGATTTTACATCATGTAATATTCTGACCAGCTAATAACAACACTGTATCAGGCACAGTGCTATGTGCTTTATATGTCTTAATTCATGAAAACGTGGTGTAATGAGACCAAATTTGTGGGCTTGAAAGCCTGTTGGCATTCCGCAGGAAGCAACAACATCAGCTGGTTTTCTGACATATGCAGAACATTAATCACAAAAAAAAAACAAAAAAAAAGTATGTTGCATATAGCATCACTTGTGTGTTATGTGTCTGTGTGTGAGAGAGAGGAGATTGTAATATAGGAATGCACAAAGAGAAATAAATAAGCAGTAGGGATTGAGGATGGGAAATTAGAGGGCTAATAATTTAGTCTCTACTTAATAAGGTAGAGAGAACCTAGGAGGATAGGAGAAAATGATGGGGAAAATCCAAAGTTATCTCTGGAAGAAACAGGAAAACCATAGAGGAAGATCAGTAAGATGACGACTCCCAGCAAAAGAAAGTCTTCTCACCCTTTTCCCCTTCTACAGCAAAATTGAGAGTTTCTGCAATGAGTGAGGCTAAGAGTAGGCAGCAGCTTCTGTCTGCATATATGGCTTCTAGAAGGTGAGCAGTGGAGGGGAGAGGGTCAGTGGGAGATGACCATTCTGCCAAGACGGAACTAAGGGTTTCCTTTTACCTCTAATAAACCATGCATGGTTTATGGAAGCACTTACTGTCTGATGTTTTCTTGCTAATTTATTTTTTGTACTTCTCTTTTTCACTGCTGTGTCATTAACTAGCCCCAGTGTCTAGATAGTGCTTGGAAGATAGTAGGTATTCTATAAATATTGAATTAAAAAGTTACCTGTTTGTTCCAGATATATATCCTATGTTAGTCATGTTATCTGAGTCGGGGCATGGTGCCACAGATTAGACCCAAACCCTAAGTAAAGATTCAGGGTACAGGGAAAACTGAGCAAACCACACTATCTGTAATTTATCCAAGTACGTATTTCCTTACAACTGCCGTTTTGTGAAGAGTGTCTTGGAAGAAGGGGATTGTATGTGTGTTTTTGTTTGTATTTGTATTTGATCATTTTAAAAATAGAACTTAATTTGGAAGCGGATAATTTAAAATTTCCTTTTGTTTAAATTATGTGATTACCAAATATCTGATGGCAGTTAAGCCTGAATACATACGGTAGTTAGGGTTAATCTACTTTGTGGGTATATATATGTTTTTAAAAAAAAAAAGTTGTATTTTTTTTCAAAAACAGAACTACCAATGAAATAAAAAACCTGCAGTACCTACCTCGAACCAGTGAGCCCCGTGAGATGCTCTTTGAAGACAGGACGAGAGCCCATGCAGATCATATAGGACAAGGTTTTGAACGACAGACTACAGCTGCTGTTGGAGTGCTGAAGGCTGTTCACTGTGGAGAGTGGTATATATTAACTACTTTTGTTTTAATGAAAGATTTTCTTGGCTTCTGAAATTTTTCTCAGAAAGTTTCTCGGTAATTTCTCCTTTACTGTGGAAAAAAATATTTTTTCCCTGTATTTGCATATTATAATTGTGTAATTGCGCTAAGTAAGGTTTTAAATTGCTAGAATCTAGTTTTAGTCGTTTGGTCTTTGACTGAGATAATATTTTCTAAGTGATTAGAGGTGAAAAAAATTAAGAGAGACAGGCTAAAAGGAAAACTGAGGTTCACCTGGTGCTTACTGTGTGCCAATTTACAAGTGTCACTTTGTTCAATCTTCTCAACTCCTCTTTGGCCCATGTTTATTATATAAAGAAACCAAGGCTCCGGGCTGTCAAATAGCTCTACCCCAGTCATATGGTTAGTAAGTGGTAGAGCTGAGATTGATTCCAGATCTGTATGTCTCCAGACTCTTGTATTTTTTTCTTGCTACTTTTCTACCTTGCTCTCCCTTTCTAAGGTTTGGTATTTGTATATTATGTATTTGTTTATTTTTCTATATTCATTATCTCCATTTTTGCTGATAATTTTCATTTCTAATATTTTGATTAAAAAATGTGTAATTTTCTTTAATATACTTAAGGTGTCATGCCATGCATTAAGAAACTTTCCTTTTATTACATTGATAAAACACATATAGCAAAGCTATATTTATACTGTAAGATAAGTTGACTTAGTTAGATTTTTGTTTTTCACACTGAGTGGTGTTTAGGTAAAAATCATGAGTTGGGATATAATATTTTGCTTATTAACACAGTTGAATTAGATGTAAAATAGGCACGAAACTCTTTCCTATGTAAAAAGAAACAATCTTTAATTCTGAAAAATAAAATTTTAATATCGTTGCGTAGTTTTTTAAAGTTTTATAAAAAATATAACCTCTTTTTTCCACATAAGGAAACTTAAGTTTTAGTTCTACTAATATAAGACTGACCCTTGTTAAAAAGGGAATGTTTATGGTAATATTTTATAAATTAATCCTTGTAATTATAAATGAATACTGAGTAGAATACTGACCTTCTGAAAATAAATGAAGTTTTATCAATTTCAGGTATACAAGTATTATACCTTAGTAAGGTCCTTAGTAAAACAATTTTAATAGCTCATAATTAATTAATAGTTTATAATTGAATTGTGTTTAAGTTAAATGGTAATTTTCAAACATCTGTGTTTGTTCTCATTTAGTTTCTATGCTCTTCCTATAATCTAGTTTATAATTATAATTTTGTCAAAGAATAAAAGCAAATTTATCTCTGGAAATCATTACAAACTCCTGTTTCAAATTAATGAGGTTTTTCTGGATGTTTTGTATAAAGGATTTAAGAGTTGCATCAGTAGTTACTTGGGATGAAATCTGATTTATAGATAGTGTTCAATAAAGTCAGCTACATATATTTATAATTTCTTTCATAAATAAACATTCCTGCTTCAGAACAGCTTTAGCCATTGTTTATAACGCTCTTAAAACCCATTGCCATCAGGTAGATTTTGACTCATAGTGACCTCATAGTGTTTCCAAGTCTGGTTTGTTTTTGTTTTATTGTACTTTACATGAAGGTTTACAAAACAAACTAGCTTCTCATTAAACAGTACACATTGTTTTATGACACTGGTTAACAACTTCACGATATGTCAGCACTCTCCCTTCTTGACCTTGAGTTCCCTATTACTAGCTTTCTTGTCCCCTTCTGCCTTCTAGTCCTTGCCCCTGGGCTGATGTGCCACTTTAGTTTCGTTTTGTTTTATGGGCCTGTCTAATCTTTGGCTGAAAGGTGAACCTCAGGAGTGACTTCATTACTGAGCTAAAAGGGTGTCCGGGGGCAATACTCTGGGGGTTTCTCCAGTCTCTGTCAGGCTAGTAAGTCTGGTCTTTTTTTGTGAGTTAAAATTTTGTTCTACATTTTTCTCCAGCTCTCTCCGGAACCCTCTATCGTGGTCCTTGTCAGAGCAGTCATTGGTGGTAGCCGGGCACCATCTAGTTGGACTGGACTCAGTCTGGTGGAGGCCTTTGGTAGTTGTGTTCCACTAGTCCTTTGGACTAATCTTGCCCTTGTGTCTTTAGTTTTCTTCATTCTTCCTTGCTCCAGAAGAGGTGAGACCAGTGGAGTATCTTAGATGACCGCTTATAGGCTTTTAAGACACCAGATGCTACTCACCAAGGTAGAATGTAGAACATTTTCTTTATAAACTATGTTACGCCAGTTGAACTAGATGTTCCCTGAGACCATGGTCCCCACAGCCCTCAGCCCAGTAATTCGATCCTTCAGGGAATTTGGATGTGTCCATGGAGCTTACATGACCTTGCAAGGCTGTAATCTTTATGGGAGCAGACTGCCACATCTTTCTCTTGTGGAGTGGCTTGTGAGTTTGAACCACCAACCTTTCAGTTAGCAGCTGAGTGCTTTAACCACTGCATCTCCAGTGCTCCTAGGTCTCTCTTAAAATCCTTTAAATTGTTGTTGGTATATGCTGCCTCCTCCATTTTAGATTCAACTTGAGGGTAGAGATTGTGTTCTGTCCTTTCACAGGACCACCGTAGGTGTCTGGCTTGGTTATCTAGTGCTGCTGTAACAGAAATACCTCAAGTGGATGGCTTTAACAAAGAGAAAATTATTCTCTCACAGTCTAGTAGGCTACAAGTCCGAATTCAGGGCGTCAGCTCCTGGGGAAGGCTTTCTCTCTCTCTCTCAGCCCTGGAGGAAGGTCCTTGTCATCAATCTTCCCCTGGTTGAGGAGTTTCTCAGCACAGGGACCCTGGGTCCAAAGGACACACTAGTCTCCTGGCTCTTGTTTTTTGGTGATAAGAGGCCCCCCAAAATTCATGTTCTTGCCACATGTAAAACACATTCATTCCATCATATCATAGCAAAAGTCTTAAATCAACTCCAAGTCCAAAATCCAAAAGTTCCTCTTCATCTGTAAAATCTAGAATATAAGTTACCTGCTTCCAGTGTACAATGGTGAAACAGGCACAAGCTAGACATTTCCGTTACAAACAGGATAAATTGGAGGGAAAGAAGTGATAACAGGCACCAAGCAAGTCAGCAGAACACATTACATTAGCCCTCAAGGCTTGAAGATAATCCTCTGTTCTCTGAGACCATTTAGACAATGGCCCTGCCCTCCAAACTCTAGGTATTGGCCACACTCTCCAGGTTCTGAGTGAAAATCTCTCGGCCCTGGGCTTCAGCTCCACCTTCCAGGCCCACGGGGACGGCAGCTGTGCTCCAAAAGTATGTATTGCATAAAAACTACTTTTGTGGCTAGCAGTTCCACCATGAAAAGGACTATTGCCAAACTACTAATGTATCAGATGGCCAAGTTTAAGAATATGCTTGGGACTGGCTTTGAAATGAGATATTGCTAGCTATGAGTTTTATCACTATTATAAAATACAATTTGGTTCCTATCCAGATGCTTCTTTAATCTCTTAGTATTAAAGATGGCAAGAAAATAATTTTGTTACAGCTATTGGGAAGTCTTCACACGTGTAATGCAAACATGGTCTGTGATCCCTTGCTTAAATTACGCTATACAGAGGAAGTTGGTGCCTTTCTTTTTTTCCTTATCTTAGTTTTTTGAGTTCTGCTCTTTTTCTCAAGAAGATATTAGGATATTAGATTCTTGACTTCATTTTAGCGGCAGGATGCACACTAACTTGAAATAAAAGATAGATATTGATTTAGACTACAAGTTTCTAGTTAAATAGGAATAAAGCTTGTGAATTATTGATCAAATTATGTAAGTATTTCAGGATTATGGAGACAGTATTTATATAGATTTATACAGGCATAGGAGCCCCAGTGGTGCAGTGGTTAAGAGCTCTCCTGCTAACCAAAGGACAGCAATTCAAATCCACCAGCTGTTCCTTGGGAATACAGGGTCACTATGAGTCGGGATCCACTCGATGGGTTTGGTTGAGTTTAAATACAGGCATACCTCAGAGATATCGCGGGTTCGGTTCCAGACCGCCGCAATAAAGTGAATATCACAATGAAGCAAGTCACATGAATTTTTTGGTTTCCCGGTGCATATAAAAGTTATATTTATACTATACTGTAGTCTAAAAGTATACAGTAGCATGTCTTAAAAAAATGTGCATACCTTAATTAAAAAATACTTTATTGCTAAAAATGCTAACCATCAACTGAGCCTTCAAGTCATATGTATCTTTTTGCTGGTGGAGGGTCTTGCCACGATGTTGATGGCTGCTGACTGATCAGGATGGTTGTTGCTCAAGGTTGGGGTGGCTGTGGCAGTTTCTTAAAATAAGACAACAATGAAGTTTGCTGCATCGATTGACTCTTCCTTTCACAAAAGGTTTCTCGGTAGCATGTGATGCTGTTGGATAGCATTTTACCCACAGTAGAACTTCTTTCAAAATTGGAGTCAGTCCGCTCAAACCCTGCTGCTGCTTTATCAACTAAGTTTATGTAATATTCCAATTTCTTTATTGTCATTTCAACAATATTCACAGCATCTTCACCAGGAGTAGATTCCATCTCAAGAAAACACTTTCTTTCCTCATCCATTAAAGTTTTATTGTGAGATTGCACCAATTCAGTCACATCTTCAGGCTCCACTTCTAGTTATCTTGCTATTTCCACCAAATCTGTAGTTACTTCCTCCACTGATGTCTTGAGCCCCTCAAAGTTATCCATGAGGGTTGGAATCAGCTTCTTCCAGACTCCTGTTAATGTTGATATTTTGACCTCCTCCCATGAATCACGAATGTTCTTAATGGCATCTAGAATGGTGAATCCTTTCCAGAAGGTTTTCAATTTACTTTGCCCAGATCCATCAGAGGAATCACTATCTATGGCAGCTATAGCCATACAAAATGTGTTTCTTAAATAGTAAGACTTGAAAGTTGAAATTACTCCTTGATCCACAGGCTGCAGAACGTACGTTGTGTTAGCAGGCTTGAGAACATTAATCTTCTTGTACATCTCCATCAGAGC